TGTCCTCTGGATGAACCTCCCTCTGTGAGATTAGGAAAATGCCTTTCCTTGTCAGGTCTCCTGTCTTTCAAATATTTGTATTCTCTGTATGTCCTCTGAGCTGGGACACTATCTCATTTACATAAATGTCTTTCAATTCTCTGCTTTATAAATGTTAAAGGTTTAATTCTAGGTTTTCCAGGAGTCCTGCTTTGATCCTATAGTTTGAAATGCCATTAATGTATATTAATGTAATATATTGTATTATGTATATATATTTTTTTCTTTTTAATCAGGGACTTAACCCTGTGAAAACTGAAAGTAGGCACTTAAGCTATATACCACATGAATTACACTTCATCTTTTAAAATATTTCTTATGCATCTTATTTTGGAGAACACTCCTCACATGTCTTCAGCAAAGCTTTGTAATGATTTCTTCTCTTTTTAATCATTTGTAATGACTGCATTCTCGATAAATACAAACACTGCACTGTCAGAGCCAGAGACAATCAGAAGTACAGCTACCTTTTGCTGTTATTCCTTTTCACAATGCTTCAAGAAACAAAAGGAAGCAGAAATAAAACCTTTCTCCAGTATTTCTCCATGTCTCCGTAGCTGCAGCTCATCATAGGTTATATGTAACTGCTTCTTTTTAAACCTGGGGGGTTCATTTGACTCTTTTTTGCTTATTCATTAAAACACACCGGCTTCCAGTGTTCTGTCTTTGATGAAGATGTCTGCTTTATTCTGTGTTCACTATCAAGTGATTGGCCTATTAAAAGAGATTTGTGGTACTCCTTAAAATCCTTAAACATCTGCCAAGATACTTCAGGGTCTGTTCAAATTCCTCCTAAAATCTCACCCTTGCCATAACCCCTTACAGGGAACTGGAGAAGAGTAAGGAAGTTGGCGTGAAGATCTTTCGCCTATGTTGCTTCTCAGTCCTGTCTCTTTATTTTCTCTTATTTCTGCCTGTATCTCTTTCCAGACAGCCTCAGATCTTACATTTTGACTGTAAGCCGTACAGGCGCATGGGGAGGGGGCAATACATTTACACAGGCAGAGGTCCTGGTTGCTACTGGAACATGTGTGGGCTATTACAAATAACATGTAGCAAAGCCAGGTAAGGAGTACAGTGCAGACCTTCAAGGCTAATTGAGAATGGTTAGTATAAATAGTTAGGAGGTAATTTTCCCTCTGTTAGGTAACTATAGATGCACTGATTTTCAGGAAAGCCTGTTGGATATAATTAACTTTACAGTAGCGGAAACAAAGCCTAGACTGTAAAAAAGAAATGCCAACAACTGTAGCACAAAGGAAAAGGACACTCATACATCCACCCACACCTCAGATCCTACTGGACAATCTGCTGGTCAGCAGAAGTGCACAAAACAACGAACCCTGTGTGCCCTGAGAAGTAGTGGAAGGCAAATTTCTCAGCTAGGGCTGTCCTTGCCTTTGCTGAGGCTGGGCTGAGGGCATAAGTTTAGGACTAGAGAGCATCATCTGCCAGTCCAGATTAGAAGCTGACAGAAAGGCCACATTTCTGAGAGACTTAAAAATCAGTGGTTTTGTGATGTGAACTGTGGTTCCTTCAGGAATCAAGACTGATGCATCCAACTTGGTCATATCTAGGGCTTTACTTAACACTAATCAGGTTTTAGTCCTTTAATGGTAATGAAACTATGTTTTTCCAGTCACTGTTATTTCCTTTTCTTTTTACCTACTTTTGTAGAAAAGATTTTTTCTTCAGCCACACCACTTAGAGGTCTGGATTTTTTTCTTTTTCAAATGACAATGCATTTCAAAACCCCAATGGGTTTGTGGCAAACTAACATGGTAAAAACGTGAACTGTTTAACATAATAAGACATGATCTCACATTCTGAGTTTAACAAGATACCCCGAAACCAGATACTTATGCAAATGCGAAGCTTCTCTTCTCCCCATTACATCTCAAGCAATTCACCAAGCAAGTTCCTGTCACAGAAGAAAAAAAAAACATGGGCAGCATGAGATAGGCTTTAAAGTGTGAAACTAATCTTCTGAATAATAACGCTTTGCAATGGGAATCCTGACAGGGTGTCAGCAGGAAGGTTTGCCCTAACAAGCATTCAATGAAGAAAAGCAATTCGAATCACTAAAATGTAAGCAACTAACCCAAAATGGAAAGAAACTTATATGAGACACCTAGTTATTTAACTTACTAGTAATCTGACTAATCGCAGTAGTGTAGTCCAGAGCTCAGAGTAAATTGTGTGTCCCTCTCTGACCCAAGGTCAAAGAGTCTGTGAGACCCAAACCACTCCAAAGCTAAGTCCTCAATTTAGGGCTCTGCAGTTTAGCTCTGCAAGGCCCTTAGTACCATCCTCTGCTCCAAGACTTTGCTATGGTAGCGTATGTAGGGTACAAAGTTTTCCTGTGACCTGGGGATTAATATGACCCCTAGGAACAAAAAGTACTAGAATATAAGGGTGTGCATTAAAGGAAAGATTTATCTTACACTGAGCTTTCGGATACTGCAAATACAAAGCACAGGCTGCTGGAGACAGCTTGAGGAATATTCTTCCTGGAAGTCCTTCTGAATCTCAAAGTCAAAGGGAGGGCTCTTCTTTCATCTACTCCTTTGCCCTGGCCCTTGCCTATGTGTCAAGTTCTAATTACAGGGAAAGGGTTGATGAAAAGAAGTTCTCAGGATGAGGAAGGCAGGGCAGGAAGATGCCAGACCACACAGACAAGAAGGTGCAGTAACTAGGTAAGATAGGTCCTGTGGCTATCGCTTATAAAGCATGGCTGTGATATTCAGGGAAAGTGGACTAAGCAAAAGCCCAGAGACTCTTCGTCAGCTAAAGAGTAGTTAGAAGAGAGGCACAGCAGTGAGAAAAGGTCTCCCCAGTGATTCTTCTGGAATTTATTTTAGGGGAAACGCATCCAGTTTCCATGTGACCTTGTTCCATGCCATAACTGAGCTGGGAAGGATGCAAGCAGTGAAGAAGAGATTGTTTTTGCAACAAGATCTCTATTTTACTGCATCATCCATCTGCTATTTGTGTATGCTAACTAAGATCCAAAGTCTGATTAGCAAGGGTAGAGAGCAGCATAGCAAGGTATCCATCAAAAGGGGAAAACTCTGGGCTCCCCTCAGACTGTGAAGAGAGAGGCAACTTCAGGAGACTACCCAGGGAGACATATTGCGGCCTACTTAGAAGAGTAGCCATCAAAATGTGAGGCTTTTAAGGAAGAATGAGGGTAAAATGTGAAAAGTTGTCGATCTGTAAAGGAACCCTGAGAATAAAACAGCCACACAAGTATGACTGGAAACACAGTTTGCCAGAGCAGTCTCAACTGCCAAAGACAGGAGTGCCATAGCACTGCCTCTCACTCTAGCTGTATATAATACTGTGGATATGTGGGGCAGTGAGCATATTATACACAGCAATCCTTTGCAAGTGTTTAAGGGTTAGTTGCACCATGAATTTGCAGCCTCAACCAATCATCAGGTGATGACACTATGCTTTATGAGGTTCAAAGGCATCATTTGTTTACCTGCATACAACATCCAAATCCAAAAGATACGTAGAATAGGTAATTTGGTCACTACTCTCAATATGTCAGGAATTACCTGGTAATTTCATGCCATAAATCTCACTGATATTCAAATACATGATGTTGCAATAGCATTTATTTAATATTGCATTTAATATAAAAATCGATTTATGCTTGCCTAACCAGTAGTACAGTATGTGACTGACTCATTATTAGAGTGCAGTTTTTTGTTTTCTCATGGCTGTATTTTTATTTATCATCAGTTCTGTTTTGATCCAACTGACTATGTCATTACAAACAATTGTTTCTTCACCTAAGTAAGTAAGCAGTAAATTTATTTATATCATTAGGCATTGATGTGATTTCAAGATCAAATATTTATCCTGTATCTTAGGACTGGGCAGGCTACTGTTCAAGAATTAGCGCTGTTAGCTTTTCTAGGTCACAGTCCCAAAATAGGTCTTTGCAATCTACTAGATCTACATATATAAATGATGAAGCACCATCTAAAATACTTCTCAAAGTATGAGATAAAAAAGGATGACCTTCAGTGTAAGTGAAGTGTAACTTCATTTTTATGGAATTCTTCAGGCAATGATTCATGGATACCACAGTCTACCACATAAAAAGGCAAAATGCTTTTCAGGCCTTACATGACTTTTAAAAGGCCAACGGGTAAAAACTGTTTCACTGAGATTTGATATGACGCAAGTGCTCTAAGCAGAGATAGCAATAATCAAAGATCCTGCAGTGTTTTTCATCTGTGGATGTCAAGGTACTTGGACGGTAAAGTCTGTAGGTAGGAAACTTCTGTATAGATGTGGAAGTCATTAGCTATAAACCTAGATCATTTTTTCTTGGAAAGAGGAAAGCCTAAAGAAGATAGGTTATGATTCAAGTCACATTGATGGTATGAAAGGATGAAGTCATTGCAAGTGTAATCAGTATTTTGAAGGGGGCAGCAATTTTCAGACATCAAAGGCACGATCATTAAAGCAAGCAAAGAAATTGGGGGTGGATTGAAGTCTTCCATGAAAAAGCTAGCTCACACTGATTCACTGCCACATTAGGCAGAAGTATAGTTCTCTGTCTGTTGTCCCCATAGGAAATACCTAACGATTCCTAAACTATTAAGTGCTATGACTGTGCAAACTGGCAGCACTGAAGGACCTGAACTGCTCTATTGGATGATTATCTTTCCTCCCCCAGTTCTTAAAGCAGAATGGATGGCAGTTTCAGATTGAATATATATTTTTCCATCTGCTGAATACTTGTTTTTGTTCATGCTGTTTGAGGTTAACTATGCACGTACTAATCAAACCCACTACTTCCTTTCTCGTAAAACCAAAACAAAGCTTCATGTTACTTTCAGGTACTGCATCTGGGATCAAAGCTATATATATACACACTGACTCGGTGTGGGTTAAATTATTTCGAAGATTCAGTATCCTGAAAGGTGTCGCCTTTATTCCAGCCCTGAGAGTTCCAGTTTGTCTTAAAGTTGGAAGGCATCAGCCACCTTCAGCCTCTGTCCCAGCACAGGAATGCTCTCAATATTGGTCACCGTGGGCTTTCTCTGCACAGCCACTGCCATTGTCCAAGGTGGGTAGATGAAGAAGAACAGGTAGCTGGGGGTGTCTACATTTTCTTGGTTTCACATCTTTGCAGGAGATGGGCTGTGTACAACAGGGGGACGGAGATGACATGGGACTGCTTCATAGAGCGTATGAGTCTGCAAGGTATCTGGAAAACCAGTCACAGACTATAGAGCAGTAGCATCTGTAGAGAGGCTGGGCAGGATTCAGAGTAGTGCAAAAAGGAAGAAAGACTTTGACAAATCAGGCTCTGTGAGTGGAGTTGTTGGCAGCTGATAATGTGGATATAGAGGTTTGAATGGATGGAGAAACTACTTCTCTTCATTCCAAACTCTTGCACTGCAAAGCTGAAGAATCCCTGCCCCCAAATGGATTGATATAAAATGAAATTGAAAAAATAATACTGAGCCTTCACAGTTCATTAAAGCAAGTCAGTGCCTTCCATATACTCTCCTTTATACAGGAGAGAATATAGAGCTGTAGAAAGCAGCTGGTGCAAATGTACATGGTACACTAGTTTCTCTTCAAGATCTGTAGTGATTTTTTGCAGTATATTTATCAGGCTTTGCTGTCTGTAGCTATACTGTGGCTTGGGGTATATAATGTTGCTGTACTGTGGCTTGAGAATAGCTGGTTAAAAATGGAGGAGCAAAAAAGGTCAGAAACAAAAATCTGTAAACAGGTTTTCTATCCATTTTTACCATTACCCTTATGGTTCTGTTCCATGTTCCATACAGGATGTCAACTGGGTTTTTTTTCTAAATGTGAACATGTTTATTTCTACCAAGCAGAAATTGTGGCTTAAGTGCATGATTTTGAATTTCAAATTACAACTTTACCATTTTTAGTCTCTTGTTTTGCTTTCTTATGTATATTAAAAGGTTTGCACAGAGGGGATGAGCATGCATGGCTCTAGTCATTGCTCCAGTAAGTGGGCCAAATTACCTGCTGTTTAAGAAATAAGTAATTGCTGAGATTTATAATACCATTTATAGCAATCAAAGCACTTCTTGAGCTTTTTGAAGTATATTAATGCAGTGCCAATGTGACTGTGGTCTTGGAGTCCTTCTTTTCGGAAACACCTCTAGGAATTACCCATGGATATAGGAGGTGGAAGGACTCCCTTCCTATTGTGCAGGTTTCGAGTAAATGACCACAAATCATTTCTTAACAGTTCACTTACCATCATGCTCTTTACTTCCTTACAGAAATGGAAGTGACTCAGCCAGCAATGGTGCTGGCCAACAGGCAAGGAGTTGCCAACTTGGTGTGTAAATATGAGCATATTGGGAATGCAAAGGAAATTCGAGTGACTCTGCTTAAACAGACAGGTGACCAGTTCACTGAAATTTGTGCTTCAACCTACACATCGGAGTTTAAAACCCTCATTGTAGAAGAGGTCATTCAGTGCCATGTCAGCCCTAGCCGAAACAATGTGACCCTCACCCTCACTGGTCTGCAAGCTAATGATACTGGTCTTTACATCTGCAAGATGGAGAGGATGTACCCTCCACCCTATTTTATGAACAAGGGAAATGGAACGCATCTCTATGTCATTGGTAAGCCAACCAGCTTTACAGTACTGTGATACTACCAGGTTAAGGGAGTTGCTGTTATGTCTCAAAGGTCTTCAAAGTCTTGTTTGTAAGAAGTGAGGCTGAACACTGATCCAAACTCTGACAATCATGATTAGCTCTTATTCCTTTCAGGCCTCCCTGCACACACCTAAAGCAGGCAGTCATAACCATGCGATGTATATAGCAATGTACGGATGCTTGACAACATAAACAATACCATACAGTGCACATGTATGCCTTGGCAGTTAGATATGTAAGTGCAGAAACAATGAAGAGTAAGGTCTATGTTCTCCTACAGATGAAGCATATTTTCATTGGAGGTTGAGCGAGCAGGGACCCAGAGCTCAGTCCTGGCAGTATCCTGGGATAGCACATGCTAGAGAAAAGCAGTGCAGAGGATGACTTATTGATTCTAGGGGCTTCCTCATGAGGCTCATGTGTGACATTGACTTGTGTGATATCATATGTTTTAGATCCAGAACCTTGTCCAGACACAGCCATATATCTATGGGTATTAGGAGCAACTGCCTCAGGACTTTTTCTTTACAGTATCATCATCTCAGCCATTCTCGTGGGCAAAGTGGTAAGTCCATCAACTCAGGCCCGTCCTGCTAATAACACCCCTTTGTGTGATGGGGATAAGGAGAAAGAAAAGAGAACAGGGAAGAACACTGGGAACAAATGCCCTGGGATTCTCCTTTTTACTGACTCAATCAATGCTGTCACAATTATGCAAATTGAGAGAACTTGCTGGAACTGCCATTTAGATTTGTTTATGGCTCATTTGTGTTGCCAGAGTACCAGAAAGCAGTCAGCTCAGGTCAGCAGGACTGACCCTTGGCAGGAGCACCCTCAAAGGGCTACATGAATGGCAGGAATTTGCTTTTCGCTAAATGGCCCCTGTAACTCCTGATTCTCCCTCAAATGGTCTCAATGGGTCTTCTACAAAGAGGGGTGAAAGGGAAAGGTGTCTAGAATACCTTCTGCTCAGGACAGGAGTAACATTCATCAGTTCTCTCCAAAATGTGCTGGTCAATGACTATGCTGTAATCACTTGTTTATTTTACTGTCTTCCTGTATTTTATAGATAAAGAGAAGACGATGTCTCACTACTGGGGTCTATGTGAAAATGCCTTCTGAAAAGATAGAGAAAAAAGTGATTCCATTCCACATCACTGTTAACTGAAACAAGGAAAGAAACCATTTCCTAGATGGGATGGAGAGTCTGCTAATTCACCTAAGTTAAAGAAACAAAATTAGCTGTCTCATTACAAAGGTGTAGAGGAAGCAGAATATTCTTTGTAACTTCTACTCTTTGAAGGAGAATAAATAGTTTATGCATTAATATTTCAAGGTTGACCCTGTCGCATAAAAATGGCTACATTAGGCCATTGATTCTTTGAGTTGTATTGTACCAATATGTAGTCTATATATATACATTATACATATATGTATAGCATTAAGAGTTATTGCTGTTGCAGCTGTCACTGTCAAATTTCACCATGTCTATCAATTAACTGAAATCCAAACACTATTACAACAGCCTTGTGTGTCATTTCAAGGCTAATCCTATCGGTCTGGGAGCAAAGGCAGAAGAGCACACTAATGTACAAAGGAATGCTAACTTGTTCCCTTGCATTGTTATTTATTGCTTCCATTTCTGGCATTAGTGCTCTGCACTGCCACCGTAGGCTTGCACTGGTGACACTGCTGCTCTAAAAGCCTGATCTCAGCTCCTTTCACTGGCATTGTGTCCCAGCAGTGCTGGGCTGGAGTTAACACTGACGATATCTGAGCCAGTGCTGACAGCTTGGTTGTGGAGAAAAGCTACCCAGCGGGAGCCCTCTTAGGCTGTTGCTGGGAGGATATTCCAGCTGTGCTGGGGCCTTGTGTTTTACAAATGCTAAATTAGCATCTATCCAGAAAGCAGAAGTATGTTGCTGTGTTTAACTGAGTCTATTTTCCATGAAAATACCAACAGTGTATAATCTTGTTTATTACTTATGTACAATTCAATAAAAACCTTGAAGCTTTGCCCAAATTCAAGTTCATTTCTTATTCACTGTTCTCAGAAGAAACAGGAAGTGGCTACATGTTAGAAAGCAGTGATGACAAGATGAACCTTTCCCCTCTTATCCTGTGTTTTGCCCTTCTGAGGGAGCCTGTGTGCTCATGCCAACACTTACTTTCTCAGCTCTCTTCTTCAGGATGCCACCATTAAAATCTGTCAAGTCTTCTATTTGTCTGCTTAGAGCTGCTGTGATGTGGTCAGAGACACTACCAACCACCCAATCACCTTTCCATTTCCAGCAAAGTTACTTGCAGAAAGTAGCTGTAATGACTTTGACAGCATCTCCTGTAGATGTTTGTACAAGAAATTAGTCCTAGTTTCGAATCCTGTTTTCTTTGCACCTCTTTGACACTCTCCCTCACTACATGCTAGCTGACACACAAAGATGCTGGAACTTATCATAGAATCATAGAAAGTTAAGACATAGAAACTTAAAAAAACATAAAGTTAAAAAGTTTAAACATAGAAACTTCAAACAATTGCAGCATTCTCAGCTACTACCCACTACTTTGACTCTTTGCTACCAAAATTTCACCTTGCAACCCAAATACATGGCAGCATCTGTCTCTGTTTCACACCTGTGATTCCATCTTTTTGGCTTTGTAACTGTGAACCCAAACCCCACAGCCCTCTGCTGCAGTGGCAGCAGCTCCCAGAACACCAGATCTCATTGCTCTTCCCCTTTTGCCCCTTCATCTGCCGCCACTTCCAGCTGTACAAATAAACACTCACAATCCCAATTTGCCAGTGTTTCCAGGTGATAACTGCTCTTTCAATGCTGATGTACAATTGTAGTGCATTAAGTATAAGTCTAAAGGCATTTTAGTATTCTGACATCAGTCTAGGATTTTTCCCCTAATTTTCCACTAACCTGTTGTTTTGGGGATAAAAACTGGTCAAAGGTCACACATCTGATATCACTGTAAAAAGACTGAATTTCTGCCTATTCAAGTGCAGCCTGCTCAGAGAAATGTGTTCTATGACTGTTAAAAATAAATTTAACCCACACACCCACCTGTACAAGCTGTGAAATCTTCCAATACATTTACCCTAGCAAAGAAAGAATAATTATTCAGGGCAGGTTTTTTTCCACCACAGCAATGACAGACATCCCCTGAATCATGTGTCTGACTCCTAATCAGAAATCAACTGTTTCTTCTTTTTCTTTTCCTTGACAATTCATATACAGTGGGATCAAGAACTTAGTTTTCTTAAGCAATCCAAAAGCGGCTCAAGTAAATTATTTTCTAAGCCTATCCCTCCTGGGTAAAGAGATGCTCCAGACCTGTATCAACAGCCTCATGACCTCTGGCCACAGCTGGTTATGAATCTGTGTCACTGTAGAACCTAAGCGCATTTCAATTCACCTTCATTTCTGGCAGCTAAGCTGACCACGGTTAGCCCTTCTGCATCCATCTGGACTAATTCCTCTTAGTACACTAGCATTTCCTTACCTGTGTATGGAACACAGGAAAGCATGTACAGGCTACATTCACCTATAGTGACCAGAGAAGAATTCTGCCCTAAATAAGCTGCAGGTTGCTAAATTACCTGAATAATGAAGGTCATGGGAGAGCAGCACAGAAACTATCATCTCACAAATGGCAATAGCAGTATTTTGTGTTTGCTCCTGCACTTAAATAATTCTTAGCGTGATGTTTATGAATTATCCTGCTGCAAATTACTTTGCCCAAATTCTCTGGCTGTTCTGAACTTCTTTTCATCCTCAGTAGCTATTTTTCCAACCTTCTCTTATTTCTGCAGTGCTTAACTTTTTTCTGGCTTTCCTTACCACTGTAGCAGCCTTCCCTGAGCTAAATGATATATGAGTAAGCATGATCATTTTTGCTCTAGGCCAGATTCCCCGCTTGAATTTTCTGGCAGGGTAACAGGTGCACTCAAATCAGCAGATGTAGCAGCGAAGACCAAAGTGGGATTTCAGTTCAGATTTTATTGATGATGATACTCTCATAATATATATCTAGCACTACAGAGATGAGTGGAGCCTAAATGCCCGCAGAGATGATCTATATACCTATCTCCACGTGGTCCAGATAGCAGCTAGCTCTGACGACTGCAGAGCCCAGACCTTAGGGAATTTTTATTCCCCTGATGCTCTGTGCTGCCCTTCAGGACCTTCAGCTCTCTGCCTTTCCCTGATACTTGGAGAGTGTCTTACCACTATAAGCACTCAAAAAAAAAATTGTTATATGCAAGACAGATGTAGCTTTCTGTCAGATCACAGCAATACTAATATGAAAGGTGCAAACTCTTGGTTAGCGTACATCCCAGATAAGGCAATAAAGAGGAAATCCTGACTCATCTGAAAAATGTGAAAAGCAAAGGCAAAAGGATTTGGTGTCAGAATTCTGCTTATTAGAACAGGGAGTTTAAAAATGTAACTGAGAGTCTTACCTAGACAGCCAAATAACGAGACCATACTGCTTGCTGAGGTTCCAGAAGAGTCTCTTTTGGTACATGCTTCACCCAGGCAGGAGATATGTCAGCCTGTTTGCGGAACAGAGATAGTAAGTTTCTGGCTGCACCTAAGTGGGCATTCACAGGTATACTTGATTGCATCAAAGACAATGGTATACGCATACACCACTATCCACCCCCAATATTCTATCTTCATTTTCATCCACTTTTTATCTGAACTATTTTTCTCCCCCCCGCCATTTGCCATTACCAGAGTCCTAGTTGATACAGAAAAACATATGACAAATGGGTACTCTCCCAGTAGGCAATGAGCAGTCCATCATTTTAGCTTTAGAGATTTTCCAGTGAAATACAGATTCACTATTTGGAGGAATATGTGAATCTGAATTCACTACTCAGTCAGGCCTTGAGGGAAAATCCATCCTTCTTGTTTTCCACAGATCTTTACCAAATTAAAAAATAAATAATCAAGGACCCATGGCAGACTTTTGTTGACCTATTCCTATCCTTCCTAACTTCCTGATCTTTGCTCAAGATTCCCCTGGGCCTAATTTCTTGCTATTGAAAAGCCAACATTTGCATTGGCCACATAACTCCTAACTGATTTGATACGATTCCCATCTGAGTACTGCCTTCAAGATTTGCAGCTTCAAAGAGCATGTATATGCGTGAGGGCCAAAGGTGAGTTGAAGGCAGAGTACATTGGAAGGTAAGATATGACTGGCTTCTTCCTTTTCCTAGACAAAGCTGTTGCTGGGGAGTGAGCCATGAAAAATAAACCAGGAAATGCATCAGTTTTCCCTGCGATGGGAAGAGTCTGAACCATAACTAAAGAGCTCTGCCTCTAGAAGAGGCATAAATAGGAATCAGATGATTCACTGAAGAGTTCTATCATGAAATCCAAACCAAAGAAGGCTGGTGTATAGCAGATGGTTTTGTGCATTACGAAAACCAATTTATTTTTGACATTTCTAAACTGCATAGTTGCTTGAACACATACTTCAAGTTAGCTTCTAACACAGAGAGGCTGTGGGGCTGCTACAGTCCCTGGGAGGGTAACCTAAATTTTGAATGCAGGCTTATGGCTTGGAGGGAGGTGTGGGAAAGGAGTGAAATTCATCAAATCTTTGAGCTGCAGAGAATGGGGAAAGAATTACAAATAGGCAGCACCACGCTCTGCTGATCCTGCAGATTCCTGAGCATCACTTGGGCATAATTATTCCTGTACTTCTTCACATAGACATTCAGCACTTACATGACTTTGTTATCGTTTTGTGTGAATGTTTTTTTGTGACTGATAAAAGAGCAGTCTTATTGAAGGGCACTTGTATATTTTGTATCAAAGAGGAATGGTGAGGAACTGTGGTATGTTTGAGCAAATAACAGTTACTGATAAAAGATCTTAGTAACTATGGGAAAGAGGGTTGTAAAAATTGTCCCTGAAGTTCAGGTAAGGGACAAATTAACAATTTCTGCTGATGTGATGTGGGAGATGCTTCCATGAAGTAGGAGATTATGAACTACTCAAAATTGCACTATTCTTTTTCTTTTTTAACTCTTAAAATTGACACTTCTATTTCCAAAGTCAGCTGTCTTAACCACAGTTGCAGTCTTGCCTCTTAAGGAACGTTTTTTAGTGGTTATGAAGTTACAGTTGAACAAGAAGTTCTCAGTTTCTTCACTGACGGTATTTCTCCTCCATTCTCTGCTGGCTGTTTTGAAAGAGCAGTACTTCAAAACATTTAGCTTCATCTGCTTCATGTGCTCTTCTGGGGTGGGACATTTCTACACAACACTGTTTCTGTTCTTTTCAGACTTTCCCATGATATAAATGAGGTCCCAAACCTTTGAAGTTACTTTTGTTCACAGGAGCAGCAATAGGCAAGCTTCCTCCAGCAGAAGTGGTAAGGCAGAGGCATTTTTCAATATAAGTATACTGCAAGGCCAAAATATTAATTCTTTTATTAATTAATTAAAGAATCTGGATTAATTCTGTTATAGCACAGTATTTATAGGCGTGTAATATTCTTGCAAACATGCTCTGTAGTACTTCTTTATTCACCAGGAGAATTGATAATAAGAAAGCAAATCTTACTTATTAGTTATAATACAGCCAGTTCAGTAATTAATGAAATATTGACTGTTCAAAATAAAAAAGAATGTATTGATGGCCATTAGTCATTAGAGTCATCTTTTGTATCCTTGAGAGTAACTGCACAGCAGAAGTTGCGCAGAGTTGCCCTGCCAGAGTGCAGGAAAAACATAGAATTATCCTGAGAAATCATATGTCAGGCAATCTGACAGCTATGACTTTGACTTAAAAAATCCATTTTGAGATATATTTCCTTCATCATTGGACAGCTTCTGGATTAGTTGGTTTTTTTCCAACAAAAAGCAAGACCTTGTTTTTAAGGAAAATGGAATTTCTTACATAATTACATGATTTCAACAGATGTGACTTCAAGACAACCACCTCCGGTAGCAGGGTATGTGATAGAACACATACAACTGGGAAAGCTTGAAAAACTGGG